GCTGGAGGGGCTCCTGAGCATCCTTGCACCCCTGGAAGCCCCGTTTGTTCCGATGTCCAGGCCCACTTCTGGGCCAGAAGGGGTGAAGTGCTTCTGAGACACTCGCCGATCTGTCTCTGCTCTGTTTATGGCCCTTCGGTAATTCACTGACCGAGACTGTTCACAGTGAATTCTACCAGTGCCATACACAGAACAGGAGTCACTGTCTGCCTGTGGCCTGCAGGGACTCCCGCTCCCCTCAGCCCTGGGTAGGACGCACAAGCTGGGGCTCCCTTCTCCCCCCCCCGACCCCCCTCCCCAGCAGAATCCCCTCACCCCGTGGCTGCTCCTCCCTCCACACCCCACACCTGCACAAGTTTGGGTCTCAACCCCAGCTGACCTTGGAGAGGGTGGGCAAGAGGTCCATGTGGAGGTGTTCCAGGTCTCAACCCGAAGGCCCACCCACAACCCCGCACCCCCACGCAGCCCACCTTTCCTCAGGCTGGGGATGGAGAAAGTCAGCAGAGCTGAGCAAGCCACGGCCAGAGCCTCTCATGCCCATCATGCCAGGCCCCAGTGGGACATCCACGGTGCCTCTCCTGACCTCTGAGCACAGAGACCAATAGTCCGGCTCCGAGACACCTAAGCCCCACCATCCTCCGCCCCCCCAGGTTGCCAGGTGGTAGAAATCGAGCCCCGGGGAGACAAAAGCAAACCTGCAGCCTCCCAGGCTCCCATCCCAAAGTAGCCAGACCAGGCACTGGCCAGGCAAGGCATCCAGCTGCCCGCCTGGGGCCAGGACAGGAGGGCAGGAAGGCCCTAGGCCGAGGAGGGAGTGGAGGCAAGGCTGCCCTCCAGCAAGGGGAGCAGCTTCTGCCAGGCTCCGAGGGACTGCGGAGGAAAGCAGAGGCGAGGGCGGGGCCGGGGGTTGCATCAGTGGTTGCCAGAGCGGCTGCCTGGAGAGAAGTCGCTGTGGCAGCTCGGCCTCTGGTGCCGGGCGCCCAGGGGACGGCAGGGGAGGCAGGGAGCGTCGGAGGGAGGAGGGTCTGTCCCTGGGGCGCGGAGGCCCAGAACAGTAAGCCCCGGGACCCTGCAGAGTAGCAGCCTTGGCCGACCCCAGGCCAGCCTGGGGCCCAGGGGCGAGGGTGGCTGGAAAAGCGCCCCGGAAGGGCTGAGTCTTGTGGCCCGAAATGATGGCGCCCTTGCTGAGGCTTCTCCCAGTGACCTCAAGGCTGCCTCCTGACACCTCCCCCACTCTGCCTCTCATGGTACCCACAGGGGCCAAGGCTCTGCTCCGCCTCCCCAGCCCCCAGGGATGCCCTGTCTACGTCTACATATGCCCACCGCTGGGCTCTGATCCTCCAGCAAGCCGTCTCCCCAGAGGCCAGCCCAGTCGTAAGAAAGGCCTCAGGGCAGCCTCCCCTGGCATTCGGCCTCATTTTCCCCCACTAAACTCAAACCTGAAAGGGGTAGGATACCGCCCCGCCGGAAGGTGGGAGTGTCAGCAGAGTACAGGGGCACAGGAGGGAGGTAGCTACCCCGAGCCCGGAGTGTGACCCGCAGAATCACCCAGGGGCTCTTGACTTGCAGATTCGAGGGCCCGCCCAGAAATCTGTATTTTAATAGGTACTCTGCTGCCGAGAAAGGTCTGGGGACTCTCTCCCGAGGCTGCCACAGTTAAGCTAGAGAATCTCACCCTGGGGGGACTTTAAAGAAATAGAGCCCTAAATTCCACTTGTTTATTTTATTGGTTGGGGAGGGGGAGGGTGGGCACTAGCCTGGCACCAGAAACCAAGGAGCAGGAGGTGCCTGCAAACAGAAAACTGTAATTAGGATTCTCCCAACCCTGAAATAAAGGTGGAGACCCCAGGAACGGGTCGCCAGGGTCCGCGTGTTGCTTCTCACTAATCCTGGCTTCTCTGTGGAGACCTTTGGTCTCAGTTTTCCTCATCTTTGCAGGTGCCTTGGGGGAGAGCAGAGGGTAGCTTACAAGGCCAAATCCCCCCCCCACCCCACCCCCCCGCAGCCTCGGTTCTAGTGTGGGCACTGAGGCTCCGCCCCGCCCCCGCCCCCCAGGGCCGAGCGGAATGCCGCAGTGCCGCTCCAGCCACACCCTCTGCCCTCGCTGGGGTCATCTCCCAGAGCCCTGCGGAACCCACTAGTGGGGGGTCGGGGAGGGGGGGAAATAGGGCCTAGGGAGAACTGGGAAGGCAAAAGCAGCCAAAGCCTCATTTGAAGTCTAACAGGTAAGGCCTCGAAGCAACCTCCACACCCCTGACCTTGAGATCCAAGGGCACAGAAACCCAATTCTGGGAAAGGGAGGAGATAAGGCCCCCCAGTGTCCCACCCAGGCCGACAGTGAGCAGCTGACAAAGGGGCAGAGGAGCTGGTACCATCACTGGCCCAAAGGAGCCCACCTGAAGGCCAGGAAGGGAGCCTGGATACACCAAGGTCTCTGCCCACCGCCCAGAAGTCTGCATGCACCAACTTCAGACACCTCTCCAGGGCTCCTTTCCGCCGGGGTTCCTCTCCCTCAGCTCTAGCACTCAGGGTAAGGGGCGGATCCGTTGCTCCCCGCTAGAGCTGGCGGCTCCCAGGAGGTAGCATTGTGTGGACTCGACCACGGGGGTTCAGAGTCCTTGGCCATCAGATTCCCCGGAGCTCTCCACTCCACCCCATATGACTCTGGGGTCCCAGAGCCAGGCAAGCCCAACCTGGCCCCGGTCCTTCCACTCTCCGTCTTATGCCCCCAGACCCAAAGGGCTGGGGACCGAGGCCCTCAGGCGTTCCCAGGGCCGGGCGCTTACTGCGCAGTCTCCGGGGGAAGTGGGGGGAGGGGTTAGAGAGCAAAGCTGCTTTCCTTTCCGCGGGGGGTGGGGGGGGGTCGCCTGCACACCCTCCGTTAAGGTGGGTGGTTCCAAACGGTGGGCTCAGGCTAGAAGCCACAGGGTCCCTTAACCTGCCTCATGGGGGGTAAGGAGCAAGCGAAATTCTTACAAGTAATACGTGTAAGATTTTTTCCCCCTTTGCGTAGGGCCAACTCCAGATGCTCCACATCTTCCCCCACCTCCCAACAAGGTCAGGGCCTCGAGGGAGTGAAGGGACCACTCTCAGCGATAAAGGAATAAGCACTAGCTGAGGCTGCGTCTCTGAGACCAGGATCCCAACCGAGAGCTTCGCAGGGAATGCGCTGGGCGTCGGGGCTGAGAGCTGGGCGCGGGGCCACGTTCCTTTGGTGCGCTCCATCCATGGTCAGGACAGGTTTCTTGGATGGCACAGCCTCGGCTCAGACACTTGCCAGCTCGGCGCGGGTCGGGCTCACAGCAGGCCGCGAGGGTGATGAGCACTCGGTGGAGCCCAATGGGCCTGCCGGAGAACCAGGGGCGTAGCGCAGACCTCCGCCGCCTGGCCCCCAGGAGGAAAATAGGGCTTTTAATCCTCAGGAGCTTTGCGAAGCCCGGCAGGATGCAGGGAGGGTCGGTCCTCACCTAACCGACGGGGGTGATAGTGGGGAGGTTGATTAGCGTATCGGTGGCTCTGGGCTCCTAAGCGCTCTGAGCTCGTATTAGCGCCCCAGCCCCCGGCGGGGGCGTCTAGAAAGCGCAGCGACGGAAGCCAGGGCTGGGGGAAGGGCGGGCGGAACCGGGCGATCCAGACTCCGAGGCGGCACCTCACAGACCTACTCCTAGGATGCGCGAATCATTGAGGCGCCCGAGGCGCGCGGTCCAGTCGTGGGTTCCCGAACGGGGCCCAGGGGCCCCTGTGCTCGCCGGCGCCAACGAGGGCGGGGAGGCACAGCGGCGACGGTGTCCAGCCGCGTGCTCCGAGGTTGCCAGGTAGGGTGGCCGAGCCGCGGAGGCGAGCTTCAGGTCTGAGAACTGGTGTTCCCCAGAGACTGGGCGGGGTCGCCTGGGGCCCCAACAGCCGCAGCCACAGGTCTGGAAGCCCAGAGCAGGGGCGGGAGAAACCCGCTCTGGGAGCTAGAACTCTCGCGGCCGGGGTCGCCTCCAGCTGCCAAGCTGCGCTTCCACCCGACCCCACCAGGGCGGCGCGACCCCCGCTCGATTCCCCGCGGAGGTGTTGGGCCGGCGCCGTACGCACCTCGCCAAACGCGATCCGCACTTAAAGCCAGCGGCGTCCAGGGCCAGCGGCGCAGTAGGCGCGGGACAGCCTCTCCTGGGGACCCGAGCCCGCGGGCCGCGTGACGCTCTCCGCCGGGAGGCGCGGGGGCGCCGGGAGGCCGCACTGCCGCGTCATCCCCGAAGGCCCACAGCGCCGAGAAGCCCCCGCTTGCCTCGCCGCCCTCCCGCAACTCGGGGTTCTAGCATTGCTCGCCCCGGGGCGCCCGCCTCCACCTTCGCTTCCTCTCCGGGCGCTGGCTCCGCCCGGCCCCGCCCTAGACACTCACCTGCGCCGGCTTCGGGCAGGGCGCACCTCCGCCTCCCAGCTCCGTGCGGAGTCCACAGGGAAAACAAGGCAGAAAGGGCCCCTGTTCCGAGCGGGCCGGAAGGGTGGTACCTGAGGGGCGCCGGGGCTGGCCCGAGGCGGCACCCCAAACCTCCACGGCGCGACGGGGGAGGAGGCGGCGCCGGAGCGCGGAGCCCAGCGGGGGAACAAAGAGGAGCCGGGATGGGGCCGCGCGCTTCCTGGGTGTCGGGTGACAGGTCTGCAGGAGGAGGCCCCGGCCGGGCCACCTGAGGAGGAGCCGCCTCCGCACGGCTGGCGGGGTGGGGCAGGAGAGGCATGGGGGCCCAGGAGCCGGAGAAGAAGGGTGCGCAGAGTGCCCCGGACGGCGCGGCCCAGAGTGGCTCGCGGGCTGCGGCGCAGAGGTACAGGGGCTCGACCGAGTGCAGAGATAATGACTCTGGAAGGGTTTACCGCCCCCCCAGCCCCGCCCGCCCCCCGCGCCTCGCCATTGGCTCAGGTGCCGTGAGGCGGGGGAGGGGCCGGGGGCGGGCCCGGGATGATTCACCTTGAATGTGGCTGGGGTTGGTGCGCAGCGCTGGGCACGCCCGACCCAGACTGCAGAGACGCTGGGAGCCCCGCCTGCACGTCCAACACCCCAGGCTCTGGCCCCAAGGGGTCTCGCCGCCAGACTTCAACCCCTGCCTCCTGCCCTCAGGCTAAGGTGCCGCTGGCCGAGGTGCGCCCCGACGCCCTGCCACCCCACCGCCCTCTAAGCCGGGAGCTAGCCGAGGTGTGTGTAGCTTAGCGTGCTCGGAAATCCGACCCTGAGCTGGGGGAGGGGAAGTGCGCTTGGAGGTGCGACTCACAGTGGGGCCACTGGACCGATCTTTGAAGTGCCGGCCTCAGAAAGGTGCGCAAAACTGAATTGTCTCAATGGGCCCACGCAGACCCCGGAGCACAAGGGTGGAGGGGGGACGAGGGTCTCCCCGCCAAGTCCTCACTACACTCACCCAGCACTGCGGACTCACAGGTGTTAGGCCACTGCTGCCGCAGGGAACAAAGGCTGCCTGTCCCGGAAGGGGGAAGGGAAGGGGAGCCGCCCCCAGACCCTTCCCACCTCCCTCCCTCCCTCCCACCCCCCCCCACCTACTGCGGCGGTGGCTCCCCCGGGAGGGGGCGGGGCCGACCGAGGCTGGGACGCAGATCTGGATTAGCTCCTCAGCGGTCCTACGCTCCGATGCTACCCCAAGTATTCGGAAGGGGCGGGGTAGGGGTTAGGAGACTCCCAGGCTGTCAACGGTAGGGTGGCCTCTTCCTCCTTCCCCAGCATCCTGAGCAAGGGAGCGCACCCCTCTTCCCACTGTGGGCGCCCTCCCCAGACCCAGCCCCTCCAGACCGCCCCAGACGGCAACTGCAGTTCAAAACCAGATTAAAATAAAACGTTAATCCGTCCTCCACCCTTTAGGTATCTAGTTCTTCCTATCCACTCGCATTGCTCTGGAGGTTGAGAAGCCCCTAAGAACGGGGTGTGGAGGTGGGAAGGGGTGGAGTGTTTCTTATCCGATGCCTCCACCAAATCTAAGGCCTCTTGTATGTATTAAGATTGAAGACCGTTAGCACTCTGTCGGTGGGTGTCTATAGTTCCCCACATCCCCGCCTCTATCCAGCCCGGAGCAGCAGAACGAGACTATGCGGTTGCCAGCCTAGAATAGGTCCGACTCCAGGGTGGGGCCTGCTAGGGCCCTGGGTGTAGCAGCCAGAGAAGGAGGCAGGACCCCCACCCCAGGAAGGGCAGGCTAGGCGACTCTCCGGCCCTCTGGGTGCCTCTCAGCGCAGCCGGAGATGGGGCGCGGTGCACCAGGACCCAGACGAGAGATCAGGAGCAAGCGCCCGGCCGGACCCGCCAAGGTGGGAGCTGGCACCACCTCGCACATTTCCCCACCCCCATCCAAGTCAGGTCGCCTGAACTTCCCTGACTGCGGCCCCACCCGCGCCCTACCTGGTTCCCGAGGGGCCGTGGGATCCTGGGTCGTAGCTGCAAGATGTGCCAAGAACCGCAAAGCCGAGTGCGAGCCAAGCTGGCTGCGAGTGGCCCCCGCGAACTGCCGCGCCCCCTTTATAGCTCGCGCCCCGCCCCCCGTGCCTGGTGCACCCCGCCCGGGCCCATTCACCTGCTGTCGAGAACTAGACACCTCACTTCGCAAAGCGAGCCACCCGGCCGCTGGGTCCGGCCGTCGGCGCTGGCAGGGCGGGGGCGCTGCCGACGAGGATCCAGTTTCTGCCTTTTCTTAAATGCGCTTCTGAAAGTCGAGACGGCCCGGGCGTCGGGAGCCCGCGTTGTTTTCTCCCCCTTTGGCTCCCCGCGCACCCCGACGCCCCCAGCCCCATTTCGGGAGGGGCCGCGAAACTGCACCCGCAAGGCCTCATACATATTTTAGGGAGCAGGCCCGGCCGGTAACTGGAGCTGGACCCGGACGGTGAGAGGGTGGCCCCCGGGGACCCGATACCCCGGATCCCTTTCGGCTCGGGGTGCAGGCGGGGGAGGGAGGGAGAGTGGATTGGACCGACCTCAGGTCCACACTTTGCTGCTCGGTTCCCTTTGCCTCTGTCTGCTGGGAGATTGGGCTCCGGGGCTCAGTCCCACGGCCCTTCGTTCTCGCTCTAGATGTCTCCGCTGGTCTCTCTGGCCATCTTAATTCGTTCCCAGCCCCACTCGGCTGCCCTAACCCACGTCCCCTGGCTGTCTCAAGGGCAGTCCCGTCGTGCTGAAGATGTTGAGCCTTCTCTTATCCCTTCCCTCTCTCCACGCGACTGGGCTGAGGGAGGGGTGTGTGGGGCGCAGTGCCGGCATTGACCTCGCAGTAATTGTTGGGCCCCCGAAATGACCCGCGCTTTTGGCCCCGTGACACGTGCGACTAGCATTTCGCAGTGAGATGGAGCCCAGGACTCCGGTCCTCTGGCGCTCGGATTACCACCTTCCCCATTCGCTCTTCTCGGAGCTTCAGTTTCCCCTTTTGCTCAATGGGTAGCACGACTTGCACCTCTCCAGAGGGGAAATGGAGTGCGCGAGTAGGCTCTTGCGGATTTCGCGATCCACTGGGTCTCTGCAAACTGCAGACCCGCACAATCACTGCCCCTACCGCGCACCCGCCGCCGCCATGTCCCGAGCTCCTGCCGCCGACCCCTGGAGATCTGGAGATCCAGCCGCCGCCGCGACTTCCCCTCCTACCCCCACCCCCCTCCACCACCACACACTGTCACAAACTGAGGTCTCTGCTCCGCCGCGAGCGGGGGGTAAGGGGTGCCTGGCGCAATCTTTCCATCTGGGCCCAGGCCCCAGCCCTCTGGGCTTTGTTCTAGAATCTAGATGCGCCGTGGATCAACACTCGCAGGGGTATTGAAATTAAACTAATCCCCGACATTTTTTTAGAAAGCGCGTTTGTGCGTCGGAGCGTTTTTCATGGAGTCGCGCGGGGGTCTCTGTTTTCAAAGGGTCGGGAACCGGGAGATTCAGTCCCAGATGAGCGGCACCGAGAGTGTAGGGGACACGGGGAAGGAAGGAGAAAAACAGTCGAGTGAAAAGTGATCCTGTCATAGGAATCTAACTGGCTCTTAGGAGACGAAAATATATACGGTCATTATATATCCTGGATGTTAAGTGAAAAATGCAAAGGACACGTAGGCTTCTGTTTGTGTAAAACAGTAAATGGGGGTGAGTGGGTTGGTGGCTAGGTGTCAGGTTTTTAATATGCACAAAGTCTCCCCCTGGAAACTCAATAATCAGCAAATAGGAGTGAATTCGATGTGGGAAAATTGAGAGACAGTGGACGGGAGAATCTTTTTGCTTCACATCTTTCTGGACTTCCTGAAGTGTCTGTTTATCGAATGCTGGTATTAAATTTTCAATTGGAAAAAAGACAGATACGTCCGGGATTGTTTCTTCAGAAGAATCCATCACGCGATGTTGAGGCCCGGGGCAGTGGAATCACAGAGGGCGAGCCGGAGCCGGAGCCCGAGAGGGCGAGGTGTCCTCGGGCCGCGGCGGGGAGCCCCGCGAGGCGCGCGTCTCGGTCTGGGGCTGGCGGCGGCGGCGGGTCCAGGACGCGTGCCCAGAGCCAGGGCGAGACGCGAGCGGGCCAAGCTGGCGGTGGGGCTACGGGTTTGCATCTTTATGCCTCCCGATTGCCCTCCCAGGCGAGAGCCCACGCCCTGAGCGCTGGACCCGAGTCTATGGGGACGACGGTTGCGGAGAGGGCGGCTCGAGCACTGACTGGATGGGGTCAGTGAGGTTGAGTCCAGTCTGGGTCTCCTCTTCAGTAGAGTAAACTGAGGACACCCGCCGCACCTCTTTGGCGGATCAGGGCGAGAAAACCAGCGTGTGGCCCCTGGCGAGAACCCTGTCGGGCTGCTGCCGAGCCTGTCTGTGTCCGGCCCCTCCGGGGCTAGACCGGAACCCCAGTCTCCAGTGTCCACTGCCCCCGGGCTGGGCCACGCCGCAGCAGGGCCGAGGCCCAAGGCTCCCGGGCGGCTTCAGGGCCCCGGAATACCAAGCAGAGATTTGTGTCTGAGTTGGTGGAGGAGGGGCCCCAAAGCCTTCAACGGATTATCCAAAGGTTGGTGACCCAGATATGGTTTTGGCCTCGGGCCATGTTTCACTTCCTGTGTCCAAAACAGAATACTAGCTGCATAATTCAGCCCCCAAACCCAGTAATCTCTTCTTCTTCTTCTTCTTTTTAAAGATTTATTTATTTGTGCATACAGAACTGGGGTACAGGCCAGAGGCTCAGGGGCAGCGAGAGGCTTCACCAGAGACGGAGTGGGGAGCAGAACAGGCAGATCGACGAAGTACACTGCTGAGGGGAGCAGCGGGCGGGCCAGGAGAGGTCTGCCACGCCATTTGGTCACCTCCGTGGCAGGCGGGAATCGAACTCATGCGGAAGCGGCTGTAGATTCTCAGTGCAGTGCTTTAACCCGCTGCGCCACCAGGCAGGGCCCCAGCAATCTCTATTTCTATTTCCGTTCCAGGATGCTTCTAAGTGTTACCATGTCCTTGTCTCAAATTAGAATTATCTGATTTTTTAATCTCTCGAAATGTATTTGTTGTGCCCCTGCTTGATCATTCGGGGACTCCCTTCGTCTGTAAGGGGGTACTGTCGGATGGAGTAAACACTGGAAATAGCACAGCGCTTCTGCAGGGCTCCCTTTAGTTCTGCAATCGCCACCCACTTGCATAGAGTCAAGTTGCCCACTTTTCTCGGGAGCTCCTGCGCTCTAGGCAGTGCTGCAGGCAGTCCTTTCCTGCTGGCATTTTGGACCTGTCTGGACCTTTTCTTTTCCGTTGGTTGGGGGGTGCGTTGGTTGGGGGGGCAGTGTCTCAAGCTTACTGCCCCTGTGCCGGGGGAGGAAGCTTCTCTGCGGACTTGCACCCACCACTGGGCTCAGCGCCCTCTCTGTCGCTGCATCTGCGTCTGCGTCTGCGTCAGTGCTGGCCGTCCGCCCTGGAGTCCATCGCTTTGCGCGGTTTTGAACCTCATAGGGTTACCAAAATTGTCTGACCCCGTTTTTTCAGTGGAAGGCCCAGAAACCAAGCTGGGTCCTGAACTGGGCACAGACCCAGAACCAGAGCCTCGTTCACTGTCTGGGTTCCACTGGGCTGGGTTGTGCAGGTCCAGAGCTAACTCCCTGGAGCAGCCCAGGGACCTCCATGGGGTGGGGAACTAGGAGCCCCTGGCCTCAGGTCGGCCTATAGCGAGGCGCCTGCAGGGAACCTCTGGCGTTCTTGAGGCTTTCCCTGGTGACACACTTGAGGGATGTGTGCCCAGGGTCGTCATCTCCCTTGGGGCTGGCTGCTAGCTGACTCCCTTCTTGCCCTGGAGACGTTGCAGAGGGTGGGAGTGGAGAATGGACCAG